ATAAACAAGAGACTAAACCCCACTGACTCCCTTCTAGCACTGATGACGTTACCTAGTTGGGTCCTGAAACGTCCACAAGAAAACAGCCAAACTCAAGACAGCGCCCCGGAGACCTCTTGTTTTAGAAGCAGACATTTTCATACCAGCAGCCATAAACCCAAAAAGATTAAACACACTTTTCAATCTAGGCGGGGGAGTGGAAAAAAAACAACACACCACTGCATCTTCTACAGAGCCCTTCAAAAATTCAATAATGCTTTTATTAGAGAGATTATATACGCCCTATATTTTATTCACCTACAGCCCTCCCCCCCCCTAACAATATGTCTTGAGCTTCCACCAGTCCGAAGCAGAACAAAGTGCTGTCTTCTCTTTACAAGGAACACAGAATGTTCAAGTATCTCGTCCCAAAAAAAAGACAAAAACAAAAGGTACACAAAGGGTTTTACAACAAGCTAAAAGAATTCTACATACGTACAAAAGGGGGGAGGGGGGGAAGAGTAGGGGTGTGTATATCAAAAGGCCTTGGGGTAGTTGGTGGCAGCCGCCACGGCTGGTTCGGCTTCGGGGGTCCTCCGTCCAGGTGCTGCAAAGACACAAAACATTTCACTCAAAACGTCTATGGCAGTGGTTCTCAACCTTTTTAATGCGACCCCAACTGGTCGTAAGTCGAGGACTAAACCATTTGTAAGTCGAGGACTAAACCGGTCGTAAGTCAAGGACTACCCAACCGGTCGTAAGTCGAGGACTTTCCCTGCCCGGGAGCGCCGCACATGCATGGTTCTGCCCCCTGCACCGGCCGAGGCGTAGCTGGCAAGCGGCAGAGACGGAGCAGGCCGACCACCAGCTGGCCCAGCCCAAGGGAGGTAAGGCACCCACCGGAAAAGGGGAAAAAATGGCAGACAAAAAAAATGGCGGACAGCCTTGCTTGGCGACCCCTGTGAAATGGTCGATCGACCCCAAATGGGGTCCCGACCCACAGGCTGAGAACCACTGCTCTATGGAGATGCTCAGTCAATCCAGGTGGTCCCAAAGGTGCTTTTTTCAAGAGGCAACTGGACTATCTTGGTTTTTCCTTTGAAGACACTAGCAGTCTTCCAGTATCTCAGGGGCTGCCCCAAAGAAGAGGGAGTCAAGCTATTCCCCAAAGCATCTGAAGGCAGGACAAGAAGCAACGGATGGAAACTCATCAAGGAGAGAAGCAACCTGGAACTAAGGAGAAACTTCCTGACAGTTAGAACCATTAACCAGTGGAACAACCTGCCACCAGAAGCAGTGAATGCTCCAACACTGGAAGTTTTTAAGAAGAAACTGGACAGCTATTTGTCCGAAATGGTGTAGGGTTTCCTGCCTGAGCAGGGGGTTGGACTCGATGACCTCCAAGGTCCCTTCCAACTTTATTAATAATAATAATAATTATTATTATTATTATTATTCTGCTCCAAGAAGCTTCTTCGGCTCTGACTGGATGGTGGGGAGTGGAAGGATTTATACTCCTTGCAGACAGCTGGTCCTTTTCCTCCTTTTAGAGCAGGGGTGTCAAACTGCGGTTGCATCCTACGGAGGCCGTGCCCACCCCAGCTCCGGCAATGCAAAAAAAAAAGTCGTGACATGTCACGTCGCGTGATACGGTGAGTTTGACCGCCGTGGTTTTACAGAGTCATTGCGGCCGCTTGGAGGTGTACCTGTGTCCTCAGGGTCCTCCTGGGTGGTGCAAATGGGCTCAGAGTAGTCCTGGGCAGAGAGGACCACTGGTTTGAAAGAGGGGTCCAAGAGGCCATCTGTGTCAAAACTGAGCAGCCCTCCCTCAACAGAGGGGGAGGGATCCGACATCATTTATCTCCAGTCTACCTTTCAGCAGCTCCAAGAAGGCTCCACACCCAGTTGCACTACTCAGCTGAGCCCGAGGACACACATAAACCTCCAAGTGGCCTCAACGACTCTCCAAAAGGAGGCAAATGACCGGCTGTCTGCCAGGAGTATCAATCCTTCCCTTCCCCACCAGCCAGTCAGAGCTGAAGAAGCTTCCTGGATGAGAAACGAAACATCCAAAGAAAAAACAAGAACATCCAGATGCCTCCTGAAAAAGCACCTTTGGGATTTCACACACACACACACAAAAAGGGTTCCCAATTCTGTTAACGCACGCAGGGTGACGGGGGGAAGCCCAGCATCTTTGCCATGGCACCCGCTGTGAAAATGGGAACTCTAGGATGAGTGTGGGAGATCAACACAAGAGAGGATGCTGTTTTTATTTTACTAGCCTTGTATGGTGTGTAGCAGAACCTCTTTAGAAGTAAGTCAAGGGGGTAAGGCGTGTGTAATATTGCTACTGTATTCCTCACAACAACTCTTGTGAGGTGGGCTGGGCTGAGGGTGGCGAGCCCAAAGTCATCTGGCTGAATTTCATGTGTGAGGCGGGACTTGAAATTCGCCCAAAGTCACCCAGCTGGCTTTCATGCCTAAAGCAGAACTAGAACTCGCGGTCTCCCGGTGACTGGCTCAGAATCACCCAGCTGGCTTTCATGTCTAAAGCAGAACTAGAACTCGTGGTCTCCCGGTGACTGGCTCAGAATCACCCAGCTGGCTTTCATGCCTAAAGTAGAACTAGAACTCAAGGTCTCCCAGTGATTGGCTCAGAATCACCCAGCTGGCTTTCATGCCTAAAGCAGAACTAGAACTCAAGGTCTCCCAGTGATTGGCTCAGAATCACCCAGCTGGCTTTCATGCCTAAAGCAGAACTAGAATTCACAGTCTCCCAGTGATTGGCTCAATCACCTAGCTGGCTTTCATGCCTAAAGCAGAACTAGAACTCAAGGTCTCCC